ACAAGTGATGAAACCTTTACGTTGCAGCTGCTTCACTGCACTGAGAGGACGGCTAAGAGGAGACGGATATTAGCTGTAAAGTTCAGCTCAGGACTAGAACAGACATTACACATTCAGAGTTCATTGCCCATCATTATGTGCATAGATTTGTATGAATGTTGGAGCACCCTGGATAGCATCCAAGATGGAACAATTTTGATCTAATCTGCCTCTTGAAATCATATTTGTTTGGCAGATGTGAGGTCCTGTTTCATTGGATCATATTCAGAATTTCATTGCCATTTCAGCAGATTGATACTTAAATGTCACTGGCTTTAGTACAGTTGGCTCAGATTCAATCCATTGTTTTGGATTTGCTTGCCGTTTTTTTATTGTGTAAATGTGCTGACAATCAAAGGCCGTCAAGTTCAGGTCATAAACTTCTCTCTAATCCCTAAAGATGTACTTATGACACATATTATGCAACTTTTCAGGTTCATCTTTTGTATTTCGGGTTCAAACTAGAACATGAATAGATGCTGTAATGTTAAAAAAAACCTTTATTCTTCTAATACTGTCTGCCTGATTATAGCTGTATTCACGTTCTGTCTGAAAGCTTTGGTTCAGCGCCTGTGTCTTTAATCCCCTCTCCCAAAAATACCCAGTTTGCTTTGATTGGTTGCTGGGTCTGCACTGTCAAACAATGGCCTTTTCACAGCAGCATCACTGCGGTCAGAGAGACTCGCTGTGTCTACTTCCCACTTCTAGGGTGAACAATAACTGAAGTAAACGCTTCTTAAATAAAAAACTTTACACACCACATTTTCCATCAGGAATCCGATCTCAAATCAGGGAGAAATTAACAACAAAGATTACATTTGTAGTTATGGCAAAAGCTGCAACCAGTGTAAAACAATAAGAACAAATGTTTTTTTGTATCGTTGTATAGAATAATTAATGAATTTAAATTACAGGTTGTCTCCAGTATATAATGCTATTTATATCTCCTTGTCACATTTGCTCAGTACGTTTGAATTAACTCTGATACCATAAACATTGTAATGTCATCTTTGTGAAATAAATCTAACGTGTGATCTAATGTTACAAGATCATTCAATCTGAATTTAAAAAAAATATCCTCCTAAATAAAAATCACTTTATTCATATACAATAACATTGAAATATAAATTGGGTTTACCTGAACTGAAGGGGTGTCAGCTGGCTATCCTGACAATGATGATGCCTCTTCTCTGATGGCCTGTGTGAGAAGAGTCTACAGGACCGACCACCAGGTTACTCAGATCACCTGCAAAACAGTAGATTTACTGTAACATTATACTGTCATGTAATCATATCAAGGTGTTTGACAGGAAGACCAGTTAAAGTTCATCAACAAATCTTACATTTGTAGTTATGGCAAAAGCTGCAAACAGTGTAAAACAATAAGAACAAATGTTTTTTTGTATCGTTGTATAGAATAATTAATGAATTGAAATTTGACTTTGAGTGTAACTTGTGAAAATCTGGGGCTGCTGACAGTTTTTCATTTATGTGTTCATATGTTATATTATATGTTACACTGAAAGTCGAGCTTCCAGTATAACACCAGCCAAAGCAATTAGCAACAGGTTGCTAATGTTAACCAAAGCTACACAACTTGCCAATAACATTTTTAAATTCCGTACAATTTGACCATTTGTTTTTCACATGTGTACATTGAGAGCAGTGTGTAAAGTATATCAATGATACAATACTGCTGCATATGTAGCCTAATCAGAGAGTGGAATGGAGCAGATGGGGCCTTCTTGTAAACAGTGCCAGCTGAGCTAACGTTTCACGAAAGGCAACATGAAAACACAGCAACTCACTTTCAACCAACAACTGTCATCATTTAATTGAATTCAAATGAGGCTTAGCACTCACACAGTCTAACAATCTGCATAAAATATTGCATTTCTCCGGTCCGTGGGTCGAAAAGCAAGGCTGCTGGTGGGTGCATTAGCGTAACATGCTAACATTAATCTTACAGGCAAACTGTAAAGCAGCATCAAAAAGGCAATAGTGAAAGTTTCCCAGTTTTAAGTACAGCTGATACAGATTCATCCTGACTTCAACTTCAGTTTTTGAAGATTCAAAGATTCAAAGGATTTATTGTCATATGAATAGTAGCTACATTGTAGAAATGGCAATGAAAAGTCCCAAGCTCCTCCAACATTGCAACATAGTTGTTTATAAAAAATAAATATTGCCATAGGCAGCAGTAGAATAGATTAAAATATAATAATGCAGATTATATTGCAAGACCAATGTGCAAGTAATGCAGATGAAGTGAACTTTATACATGTCAAAAATAAATAAATACAATAAGCTTAATAATGCAGAGAATGTTGTGACCAAGTTAATGCAGGAGGCTATATACATGCAAATATAATAAGATATACAAGAACAGAATGTAAAATTAAATACTGTACAGTCAAATCAAATTAAATACTGTACAGTCAAATCAAATTAAATACTGAAGTGAATGTTGTTGCAGTGTACTGCTTCTTGTTGAGAACAAGTTGTTTCTGTTGTTGTGTGGACATTCCAGCCATAAATTCTCAACCTCAGATGATTGATGGGAGAACATAAAGGTTTTTCTGTTGGTTATTGCAGCAAACAACAGAACAAGTGACTTTGTTCGCTCGGGCTGTGTAAGCAGGTCCATGATAGTGAGGAACAAAAATGGCGGACAGGAGAGATTCAGCAGCTACTTTTTAGGAGGAACATCACCTTGCTGGAGGTGGTTCTACTGATCCCAGGAACCTGAATATGGGATATGAATACCTATTCGACATTAGGAGGGGAGACAAATCTGATTCATTCAGTATAAGATGGATGGAGCAGGAGAAAAAGAGAGAGGACTTATTATTCTGAAACTTTCAGGGGTGCCTAGACGCCCCAAGGACCCATATTTATGTTTAGAAGCCAGGAAAAAGTACATTTTGAATAATATGTGACCTTAAATTACATCAGCTCTTTTCCCAAGGTACTGTCACTGAATGCTGAATAGGTGAAGCTTTAATTCATAGATCATCAGCGCCATCATTACCAGTAACTAACACTGTGACAAAGGGTCAGGAGGGGACCGGACTTGATGGCAGCAGGGTTGTTTGTTTGGGCAGTGACAGTGTGGGCTTCTCCTGACGTCATTTATCGGGACTTGGCACTAGCTGCTCTGACCAGTGACATTTGCTTTCCCACCATGTGGCCCCTGTACTTTGAGGCCAGATGGCAGATGATGCCTCCAAAGCAGACGACACACAAACCCTCATGCAAGCGTTCACACACACACACACGCACAGACAGATTTACATAAGCACACACACACACACACACTGCTCCCAATCAAGTTTCCCTTCACTCAGCAGAGAGAGGGGGCAAAGCAACAGATCGATTTGTCACCTAAAATAATTTATTAAGTCCTGATAGAATGCCAGAAAGTAAACTTAGGGAAAAGTGGATGTATTATGATTGGAGTCGGGTAGATCGATGCTTTCCTCTCTCTGTGAGGCTCAGCTTGTTTGTTCAGGGTGAAATATCATCATGAAGGCACAGCACATAGCACTTCCTCCTCCCCCTTATCTTGACTGCAAAATCTGTTTCTCTTCTGCTCTCTGTCTCATGTCCCCGCCTTTTTTTCTTCTTCTGTTTCTTAGTCCCAAATGAAGGAACCGTCAGTCATCTGTGAATGGTATTCAGTGGAACAAACAGCGAACTGAGATTTTGTATTGAACCAAATATCTTGTGATGTTTTTTAGAGACCTAGGGAGACAAGGGTTGAAAAGTGAACTGAACACTCTGTAGGTGTATAAGTGTGACCTATTAATCCTGAGGGAAGGAGGCAAATCAATTTACTCCTTTGAAAGTTTTATCAATCATGAGCATCACAGCTTGGGGGGAGACTCAATGATGGAGGGTTTCCTCCTAATACATCATATCAGTAAACGGCGATAAGCATCAGCACTTTAATCTAAAGCTTCTTTGAGCTGCTTGTGCTGTTTCTGCTTTACTAGAAAGCACACAGACCACAGAATCACAGGAAATTATATGGACAGAAAGGCGATGACAGGAGTGCACATGGTAATCAATCCATAAGAAAGCCCTGTGCGAGCTGCTTCTCTTTGCATATTTCATTATTTCCACATTCACTTCCCACAGCTTTTGTTGTGCAACCCACCAGACTATAAATGAACAATTATTTTGAGAGGGGAACTGTGCCCAAGCAATCCCAAATTTCACCAAATGAGTGCACACAGCATCACACAGGGGGCTGACGTTGCCACCGGTGACAGTTAAAGGAATAGTTTGACATATTTGGAAATACGCTTTCTTGCACGGAATTAATGGAGTAGATAAATGCCACTTACATATCCGTCCGTTTCATAATAGGCTAAAAACCAGCAGTCGTTTAGCATAGCTTAGCGTAAAGACTGGACAAAGAGGAAAACTAGCCTAAAGTCTGACTTCTAAAGCTGCCTTACAGGACCTATAAAGCGTGTTCAATAACACATTATATATATAAGTTGATCAATAATTAACTGATGTGTTAAACAAAGATCATGAAGCAAACTATTCCTTGGCAGGGAGCAGCAACTTCCTGTAGTCAACGCTGGTTGCCTGGCAACTGCTAAGAGGCAATAAATATTTCGACATGTAATCCCCTGTGAAACAATGTCTGTTGAAAAAAAGTCAGGGATTTAATCAATTAAGTTTCTAATAAATTTGAGGAAAATGATTTAGCAATGCAATTTTAAATAAAAATGGTGTAGTTTAATTAATAAATAGCCTACATATTTTTAAACCAATCAATCATTGAATTAGTAACAACGTAATATGCAATTGTTTGATAAGTAATCTAATTAACCGTTTTAAGCAATGTTGAAGGAAATTAAATAAAAAAATACACAGATTGTGCCTTTAATTTCAGATATTTAGTTTGATTGGTTCCTGTACGTGTCAATTAGTGCCACCTGTTGTAATTGGTCGAAGGTACGGAAGACGGCGGGAGATACAAAAACGTTATGGAGGAGAGAAACAAAAACAGAGCGTGAGACGCTGGGAAAATGAATGAAAATGTAGGATAGTGTAGCTGGGTGAATGTACGAGTAATCCGAATAATAATGTAGTGGTAGAACAATACAATACGCACATTTGTTGCTAAATCTCGTTTGATTATTGTGCGAGTGTGTATGTGCTAACTGCTAAGCTAACATCGTTGAGCCCATACCTTTGCTACCCGGAAATGACGGTGAAAGTGTTGCATGTCCATGGTGTAGGTTTTTTGGACGAGGACTTCATCTCCGCTGCCTGCTGGTTTCATCTGTAGGACCCCACACTGTTCATCCAGGAATGACACTCCACGTCGAGGTAAACTTTTCTGTGATTTTGCTATCCTGAGGAGCCCATGCCCATGCATGTGTAATGCGTGAGCGAACTGAGAGTTGGCTATAAGCAGAGGTGGAACCAAAGTTTATATATACAGTCTATGGGTGGAACCAGTACTCAGATCTTATATCTAAGTAAAGGTAGAGTTACCTGAGTGTAGGAATACACCGTTACAAGTACAATTCTTGCAATCAAAATGTTACTTACTGTAAGTAAAAGTACACAAGTATCAGCATCTAAATATACTTAAAGTAAATAGAAAGTAAAAGTAGCCTACTCATTATTCAGATCGACCCATTTCAGAATAATGTCAGTGTTTCCCATACATTGATTTATGTGTGGCGGGCCGCCACAATTAAATATCGTCTGCCTCAAATGGATCTCATAAAAAAAAATATATATTATTATTTTTTTTTTTTGTGGTGGTCTAATGGATAGTGAGGTGGGCTGATGATCGTAAGGTTGCGAGTTCAAATCCTGCCTGGAACACCACTACTAGTGTGCCCTTGAGTAAGGCACTTAGCCCTCGGTTACTCCAGGGAGAATGTCCCTGTAATTGGTCATTGTAAGTCGCTTTGGAATAAGGCGTCTGCTACAGTAAATGCCTAAATTGTAATTTGTAAATTATATTTTTGGGAGAATAAACCCCACAGATCCTCAACTCCGGTGTCTTTCACTCATTAACAACGCAACACAGAGCAACAAGAACGTTGTCTACAGTAGCCATGAACTCGCATGTATTATCTTATTTGAGGGGGGGGGGGGGGGGGGGGTGGATGCGTGGACCACCCGAATAGGTTAAGGGGCCTTTGGCTTTTCTTGCCGGGGGGGGGGGGGGGGGGGTGCGGTGCGGTGCGGTGCCCCCACAAATAGAATCAAATTCTGTGGGAAACACTGAATGTATTATATGTTTTGATTACAATTATTGATGCATTAAAGTGTTATCAAAGCTGGTAAAGGTGCAGCTAAGTTAAATAAATGTGTTCGAGAGTTGATTATGTTTCACATCATTAATCCAAATCTGCAAAGTAACTAAAGCTATTACATACATTTAGTGGAGTAAAAGTACACAATTTACCTCTGATTTGTAGTGGAGTAGAAGTATAAAGTAGCAAAACATTGAAATGCTCAAGTAAAGTACAAGTCCCTCAAAATTGTACCTGTTAAGCCCTGAGCCTGTTTTTCAGGTCTCAGGCTCGAAAATGACATTCCCAGAACAAATGACAATAACTTCCCATCCCATCTAAAAGGGGTACATTAATAATCTTTTTTCTCAAAGCAATGATAAACCTGTGAGTTGGATGTAGAACAGTCAGAATCAATATAGATTTTTTAAATTATAAAGTAAATTCAGATTGAACATAGTAAAGAAATGTAAATTATAGTGTCCGTCCAAAAAAAAAATGTACTTGTAGTGAAAACCACCCTTGAACAGTGGCGAGCCGTGAGCTTTATACCTAGGCCCTCTGACCCCCACCCCTTCCCTCGAAAAAAGAAAAAAAAATAGTTATTACGTCACAGCGTATACTTCAGCGGAATATCAAAACAACGGCCCAGGGTGCAAAACGCATCAATGACAGCGACCCTCTACCACACAAAACAACACCTGTGAACCCAATTTGTGTTCTTTGACATTGAAAATGATATTGCATTGTGTTTGTTACTTTCGTTGCAGTTGTATGTCTTAAGTGTAATTTGGCATGCTTTTATTTTGAAGGCGAGTTCACGCTGTTGACAGGAAGTTGTTGTTGCTATGGAAACAAGAAAAGTTTCACAGCGGGCGGAACTTGTCATAATGTCCGCGATAATAAAACCCACCCATTTAGAGGGAAGATATGATTGGTCAATTGTACTGTCATTTGACATTACTCTCTCGTTCAGTTACTATAGCGGGCCCTCTGTGAATCGCAGAGAGGGCCAGACGAGCTTCTTTGATGTAACCCCTACATTCAAACAGAGAATGAACAGGCAGATTCGAAGGATTTATTTATTTGGAAATGTTATTTTAAATACAATTAAATCAAGTTTTTTTTTTCGGTAAAACTAATGAAAAATATAACAAAAATAATATTAAAAAAATATATATTTAAATTTTTTTTTTTTTTTTAATGTTTTTAAATATTATTTTTTTGGAATATCTTAGGCCCTCACAGAGGGCCTAGAGGGCCCTGACGGCTCGCCACTGCCCTTGAATGATGGGATAGTAGACTAAAAGCTTTAGGAATCCAAACTATAACATATAATAAGTACCCTGTATCAAGATTGATGCAAAACAAGTGAAATTTGACCTTTTTAGAGAGATTTAGAAAAGAAACCCCACTTCTGGGGTCATTTGGGTGCATTTTCAATATCTCTGGCCCCCCTCGTTCGATTTTGATGATTGTTAACCGTTAGAGAATAGAATCGAGGGGAAGTTCCTAAAATCCATCTATACATTACCCATTGGTGAATGAGTGCTGCGCAGCCAGAATGCCCCGGAACCGGAAGCTGCGATACACTCTGGTGGCTATCATTAGCAGCTAATATGAAATCTCAGTTTTTGAGCAATGTTCAACTTTTGAAGCTTCGACGGAAGCGTCAGCCAATCCAATCATATGCCAGTACAAGCTCTAGCCAATCAAACCGCTGCTTGTGTGTCCGGGGCGGGAGATTCAGGTGATTGGTTGTTGGTCTAGCTTCAGACATGCCCGCCGGCAAGCGACAACGCACGCCGCTGTGTGGACGGGCCGTCAGGGCTCATTTAGACGCTTCTTGTGAGACTTGTGCTTTGTTTCGGTAAAAATGGTTCGTATCTTCAGTTATCTGAGTTTCTTACCGTTAAGTGAGTATGACACATTCATAGATTTTTAAATATTAAGATGCCCTGAGACACAGTTTTGTGAAAAAACACCCCGCAGCCCCCTGTACAGGGGGCTCTCGGACTTAACAGGTTAAGTACAGTACTTGAGAAAATATACTTAGTTACTTTACACCAGCATAAAGTAATAGTTAAAAGGGTTAAAAATATAGATTTTGCCAAAAGAAATCTGAGAGGATTTAAGTTGTGTGGTTTAATATTTAGATACAAGCCAATTCCGTTTGTACATTGTCTTCATTCTTTGATAATCATATTTAAGTAAAGTTGATTTAGTTTTATATTATTTTAACCGGCACTCTTCTTAATTTTGAAGGGGTTCGTTATTTGTGTCTTCTGTTTTCTTTTTAACTTAAGGATATATATTATTTGTACACAAAAAAAGTAAGTTTTCTGTGTCCAAATAATATCTTATTTGTCGTATGTCTTTTTCATTCCATTCCCGGCTCACTAATGTAAAAAGACAGTATCTATAAGGGACGGCTCAACTCAAAATTCAAGCACCCCCCGCTCTCGGGGTGGACGCCCTCTCAGCCCTGGTCTGGCGGAAACACTGGTATGCACCATCCTTAGTGACGAGAGCGTGCGGTGAAAAGACCAGTGAGGTTATGCGTCATAAACCCAATTGAAATTCCATTCAGCACACAATTGTCTTACCCTTTAAAAAAAATCTTTACATGGAACAGCTTGATACAAAGATAATGATGTATTTCAGTCTTGCAGAACGAGCAATATAGCAAATGAACGTGTGAGCTGCAACGAATAAGGAGATAACCTGCCTATTAAGATAAAGGGGAGGTGTTGAGGTCATCAGCTTGAGAGCAGCTGCCATTGCATGGCAGTTCAATTTAAGAGGGGGTGGACCGTCCTTTGAGAGTTTTGTAATTAATCAAAGTCCCCCTTTAAACTCAACTATTTCACGTTCAATTTTATCAGCTCGTCTCCCACGTGCAAAGCCCTTGTGTGATGTGAGCCCATATCTTAATTACTCTCAGATCACTGATACCCCCCACACACACTCCCGGTATCTCTTGAGGAGACAGAAAATCATTTTACAGCTGAGCAGATAAGTCCCCGTGCTCGTTTTAACAGCCCTCCTAGCCAAAGCACATCTGACAGTGTTGTAATGACAGACAGCCAGCAAAGGGCCATGTTCCGATAATTCCTCGGCTACGTACTTGTAATGAGCCCCCCACACCCGTGATGGATTTCAAATTGAGCCCCTGCAAAAATATTATAATTTTAAAGCAGGCATACATCGTTAATATGTTATTAATGGCAATGGCTGCTGGAACTGGCCTGCTGCTGCAGAAGTTTTTCAAGCTGAGTGAAGGATCATTATCGAACGTATGTTTGGGCATGGATATGTGCGTTTGTGAGCGTTTACTGGAGATGTGTCCTGCTTTATATCTGACCTCTACTAAGGCCACTAATCACTGAGCCTAATTTGATGTCATGTTCTACTTAATGCAACGTTTGATGGTATTTGGTTTCCTGCAATAGAGAACAGTAGAGTCACACTCTGCGGTTCACTCCATCTACAGGGCAGATCAGTCACCCCAGGCATTCAAGATGAAATGTGGCTGATTTTTCCTCTTGCTCTTTTTTCCTTGTGCTTTATACTGGTCGTTTGGTTCTGCAGCTCTCTTTAAAATGATCAGATGACCACTGGTAAAACGTACTGTTTGTTTCATGGGGATTTATAGAATTGTGCACACGTAGAATGTTGGCTGTAAAAACTGATTTCAAAGGTATGTTTTGATGGAAAAAATGTGGACAGGTAATATTATTAAAACACTGGCAACTGGACTCTTTCTCAGAAAACATGGTGAAGAGCCTGCAGCTGCTTGTCACATATTAATGGCGAGTAGCACATACAAGCTTTAGAATGACACAATACAGCATATCTTTTGATACTAAAATAATGATAAATCCTTCATTCTATAAATAAACCTGCCACATTAAAGTGCAATATTTTGATATGCTAAGCCAGAGGTTCTTTATTTGCAAAGGGAAAAAATACCAGATGGCAATACTGGGGCTTTGATCGTGCTCAGGGGCTACACTGACATCATAAGCTTGTGGTTAAATCAAACAAAAGACTGAAATAAACACAAGGTGAGCAACC